GAAGCGCTCGAGTCCTATACAATCCCTCGGTCCTTAGCCTCATACCATCAACCAATTCAAGAGATCACCTTGCATGGATTCGGAGACGCGAGCTCAAACGGCGTTTGTGCAGTCGTCTATGCAGTAGTCAAACAAGAGGATGGAGTTACCCAGGGATTGGTATGTTCGAAGTCACGAATAGCGAAGCGAAACTTGACCATTCCACGTCTTGAGCTCATATCGGGACACATGACTGTAAACCTAGCCACAAATGTTCAACAAGCTCTCACTACTCATCCAGCAACTGTTCATTGTTGGCTCGATTCATCCGTAGCTCTGTACTGGATCAATGATCAAGGTGAATACCGACAATTTGTGGCAAACAGAGTACAAAAGATTCGTCAGCACGAGAATGTTACTTGGCATCACGTTCCAACAGCGGAAAACCCAGCCGACATCGGAAGTCGGGGAGGAAAGGTCTCTGGGAACACGTTATGGAAAGAGGGTCCATCATGGTTAAACAATCCTGCAGAATGGCCAGTTCAACGAGTTCTGGAACCGACACCAGATAGCAAATCAGAAGCGAAAGTGATTAAAGAAATCTTCAAAGCTGCGCACATTGAAGAAGACATCATGGATCTGCTACTTGATAAATATCCTTTACCGAAAGTGCTACGAATTGGAGCGTGGGTTCGACGGTTCATTCTGAATTGTAAACGACAACCTGCAGAGAGAGAGAAAGGTCCCATCACGAGAATGGTGGATACGACGGGCCCAAGACGCAGTCAAACACGATGCACGATATTTAGCCGACCGAGAGCGATTAAACCTACAGGAGAACAACCTCGGAATTCTGGAGTGTAGAGGCAGAATTATCGGAGAATATCCCATCTATATACCAGACTTCCATCCTTTCACGTCATCTTTAGTTCGTGAAGCGCACCTATCAACTCTACACGGGGGAGTCAGTACAGCCATGGCGAAAGTACGTGAACATTACTGGGTTCCTCGGCTTCGCCGTCTAGTCAAGAACATCAGATCACACTGCAACGGTTGCAAGAGATTCCGGGCCAAGGCCTATCAAGTACCGCCCCCCGGAAATTTACCAACTACGAGAACACAAGGCGCAGTACCATTCGAAGTGATCGGGGTGGACTTTGCCGGACCTATCAAGTACGTACCAAAGTCGAAGAAGGAAGCTAAGTCATATCTTGTGCTTTATACGTGTAGTCTAACAAGAGCCGTCCACCTTGATATTGTGAGATCGTTGGATACGAAAGAGTTCATCATGAGCCTAAAAAGGTTCATTGCGAGGAGAGGAAGACCAAAGTTAATCTATTCCGATAATGCAATGACATTTAAAGCTGCCGCGAAATGGATTCAACTAGTAAGACAAGATGAGAAACTAAACAGTCTCTTAGCAAACATGTCGATCGAATGGCGTTTCAACTTAAGTCGGGCCCCATGGTGGGGAGGACAATTTGAACGTTTAGTTGGGTTATTTAAGAGTTCATTCTATAAGTCAATCGGCAATGGTATCTTAACGTGGTCGGAACTCGAAGAAGTCGTGTTAGATATCGAAATAGCGATGAATAATCGCCCCCTGTGTTACTTAGAGGATGATGTGCAGTTACCTGTGCTCACACCCAATGGTATGCTCCACACCCAACCCACCTACATTCCCGAACTAGAAAAGCACCACATCGAAGAGAAAGATCTCAGAAAGCGAGCCAAACATCTGTTAAAATGCAAACAAGCGATGTGGAATCGGTGGACCAGAGAATATGTGCATGGTCTTCGTGAGCAACACCGAATGACTAGACCAAAATCAATGCAATATCCCAAAGTTGGAGAGATCGTGATTGTAAAGGAAGATCAAAAACCAAGAAATACCTGGAAACTTGCCATAGTTAAGCAACTCATCACGGGCAGAGACGGTGTAATACGGGCAGCTAAGCTTAAAACTGCTGGTGGTAATAACTACCTGGAACGCGCGATACAACACTTGTTCCCGTTAGAGTTACAATGCGATAAAGAGATTACAACTCGTTTAGATCCAGATGCACAAGAGTTCACACCCAGACAGAAGCGAAATGCTGCAGCAGCAGCTATGTTATGCATAAGAGACATTGCAGAGGATGAAAAGGAACTTTAATTAAACATTGCAGAGACTTGCTATGTGAACACTTATCGAAAGACAATTAATTAGTTCGTAATAAACATTTATATTATTCATAAAATTACTTAGTTACCCAGTTCGTATTGTGACATGTAAACTCTCAGAGTATACATGGGGGAGTGTGTAGCAAACTGGGCTCATTACGGAGCTTTACGAAGCCAAGACGAACATTGACATATTTTGTGATGGGTCACGTGATTAACAAGCATGCGAGACTAACCAGCGAGAGAGAAACAGTGAGAAATCAGTGAGAGAGATTTGTATTTTATTATTATTATAAAGTTATTTTAAAGTTATTATTATTTTATCGTGATTTGCCCTGGATACTTCTCAGGGAGGCGAGAATTCAGGACACCTCGCACTGATGCCCCAAGTGCTCGATTTGCCAAAGTATCTCAGTTGTGGCCCATGCCTGTATCATATCCAGTGTTGCTGGCATGATCCGCATTCCAAACCTCTCAGACCAGCCATTAGCTTTGAAGCGCAATGAGCACTTTTGTCAACTAAACTCTGTTTTTAATCTATTAAAGGCAGATGAGAAGCCGAGACCCATTCCTATACCCACCAAGCCACAACCAACTCCGAAAGAAAAGTGTTTTTCCAGTTCCATCAGTCTTGATCCTTCGCATATACTACCCACCAATGTGTTCATTAAGTTTGGTAATCTTCATAAACAATTCGATACTGTGTTTAACCCCGAGATTGAAGGCTACAATGGTGCTTCAGGCCCCTTCAAAGCCAAAGTAAACATGGGTCCTGTCGAGCCACCACAACGTAAAGGTCGCTTACCCCAGTATCCACGTGAGAGACTTGTGGAGCTGCAACAAAAATTCGACAAGCTAGAGGAGTTGGGAGTATTTAAACAGCCAGAAGATGTTGGTATCGCTGTTGGGTACCTTAACCTTCCTTCTTAGTAAAGAAATCAAATGGAGGGACATGCTTGGTGACTGCCTTTGGGGAAGTTGGCCAATACAGCAAGCCACAGCCTTCACTCATGCCCGATGTAGATTCCACCTTACGCCTGATAGGTCAGTGGAAGTACATCATTACCACTGATCTCACTAGTGCATTCTACCAAATTCCCCTTTCCAAAGAATCGATGAAATATTGTGGTGTTTCTACGCCATACAGAGGAACTCGTGTTTACGTATGTTCAGCTATGGGCATGCCTGGCTCAGAGACAGCATTGGAGGAGCTAATGTGCCGTGTTCTGGGCAAACTCCTACAAGCAGGAGCAGTTGCTAAATTAGCTGATGACTTATATTGTGATGGAATACTCCAGCTGAGCTGCTCGATAATTGGACAAAGTTATTGTCAGCCCTTCACAAGAACAACCTCCGTCTCTTGGCTTCCAAGACTATAGTCAACCCAAAATCCATGACGATCCTGGGTTGGACTTGGTCACAAGGTACACTCTCAGCAAACCCACATCGTATATCCCTGCTATCCTCATGTCACCCTCCAGAGAAAGTGAAACAGATGTCATCACTGCGCTTCCCTGATCAGATGTCCACATACTACAGTTGAGCAGTCTACCACACCTTCCCCCGAGACAGTCGGAGTGTCCTTTGCTGCAGATGTAATTAAGCGCAAACGCAAACTAATTTTGGTTCTCCGTGAATGTATTACGTCCTTTACCACAACGACATTAATTCAGGACGAACGTCACCAATATCTACGTGATGCGTTAGTTCGTCTGTGTATTGAATTACGCCCTTTAGATGGTCCCCCTGCTGTTATTAGAACAGATCCAGCCCCTGGTTTCAAGGCCTTAGTTAACGACCCACTTCTGCGTAGTGACCGCCTTTCCATTGAAATAGGTCGAGTGAAAAACAACAATAAGTATCCTGTGGCAGAAAGAGCTGTTGAAGAGCTGCAGAATGAGCTTCTTCGACAAGATCCCTCAGATGGGTATGTATCACTATTAGCCTTTCAACAGCTACTGCAAGCCTGAACTCCCGAATACGAAGCCATGGCCTGTCCGCCAGGGAAATGTGGTATCAACAAGATCAGTTCTCTAACTCACGATTATGTCATACCGTAATTGAACCTCATTTCTGCTTAGCTATATGTACAAAGGACACAAGGATACATTTATTAGTTGGACTTTAGTTTGCTTTTATTTAGTTTAGTTAGCTTTACTGTAGTTATTAGAACATATATTTATATTTATTACATTTATTCACTATGAAGAGACGGAGAAAATAGACAATGAAAGAAAAGTGGTTATGTCAGTATATATATATAGCTCAGTGACCCAGACTGTCTTGGGCTCCCTGTGCTCCTTGTATTATTGTCGGCCATATTGGTTTTTGCTCTCTCGTTAAGTTTTGTCTTAAATAAAACCTTTTTCCTTTAACCTGTCTGGTGTTGGGTCGAGTTGTCTTTCATTATTGGCGCTCAGTATGCCTCCGCTCAAACAAAGACGTCAGCTATTCTTAATTATGCTATGCGACCACATTGCCACGAAACACTTGTGGAAGACTGTAAATCCCATCCTTTCAGCTTGGGTTCTGATGGGATCCAATGATAATGGACTGTTAAAAATTAATCCAGTCACTATTCGATTGTTTGATATTAGTATTATTATGATATCTGTACAATATCGGGAGAGGATTGTGGCAAAGCTTATGCAATATCTGATGCCATACATGCAAAATTTGATGCTGATTCTATCCCCTGGGACAATGCTATTAGCCCGTTTCACAACGCTATTTCAAAGCAAATAAGGCAGTTGCTAGCTAACCAACATATTCTCACAGAAAACCAAGTTAACAGATCCCAGTAAACATTTAAATATAACATTTTACAATTTCGTACAATGACAAGCCTTCGTCCATTCCACACTTTTATGGGTTAAAAGGCAAACGTATAGCTACTGTATATCCATACATATTTATCAATTCTGAATTAGTTTTATAGCATGTATACAGTATATGTGTTTGCCTCGTTCTTTGAAAGCATGTATCAATATATACACAAATGTAGACTTATAGTTCTCAATTGGATTTTTAGGCACGTATATATCATTTCATACATGTATATGTCATATCATTTTAGACATGTATATCTCTTTGTCTCGTTCTTGAAAACCTGTGGGACATATCTAATTATTCACAAATATATATTTATCAATTACAGTTAGTATGTGTATTTTTGGTTGTCACACAAAAATATAGTTTACCCAGGCTTTTATAGTAGCGCAGTTATGAGTTATTACGTAATCTTTTCACTTTGTATCATTGTATCAGCCAAAAATAGAACTTACCTAGGCTTTTATAATAGAGCAGTTATATAGTTATTTCATAATCATTTTCACTTTGTATCATCTTATCATGATAACAAGTGAGGTCTTCAAACGTGGCCGGGTTTTCTGCAATTGCTCCTCACCCAATGTTTGCTTGTTAGCTAAGACAAGTGAAGCCAAGTAACACTTATATCAGGGTCTTTGAATGATTATTCTTTCGTTTTTTTCTAATTCTTCAAAAAACTTAGCTTGGACAGGTATTTGTTGTAGTTTGTTGTACAATTTTATAATTTCAACACATTATTACAACCAACTAACAATATTGATGTCACAGATTAGACTAGAAATACATGCATGCAGTAACCCCTCGCCAATATTTTCCAAACATTAAATTAACATGAAGTATTCAGAAATGACCAACACTGAACACAGGCTCATGCTCAAGTGTTGCCATGACAACACGATATTCTTAAATTTTTAAATATTTTTTTGTACAAAACTACAAAAAGTTGAAAGATTCGTACTTTTAACTATATAACGATAAATTTCCGAAATATATACTGTAGGTATATTATTTTGCATTTTGTGAGCTTTGATTTAATGTAAAATTTAACTTGAAACGCTTTGTAAAATGTTTTGAAATGTTTATTCAACTAAACTACATTTTGCCAATAGACTGTTTTTAGTTAATAAAACATAATTAGTGTAATACAAATACAACAAATTGTTAGGTAATTTCAGTTCAGTCTTCAAATCAATTTGTTAGCCTTTTACATTTTAAGATTTTTTCTCAAACTAAACAGTAATTTATGAAACGTAGAGCTTCGTTGAAAAGGAAAACAGTTCATGTTTTTAGGCAAAAGTTAAAGCAACAAAATTTGTAAACATTAAATATTCAAAGCAAACTTGCCGTATATATTTCACGATTTCCCATAGTAAATAATTTCTTCTCATTTCTTCAAACAAAATTGCTTCAAGCTTGTTGTATATGCAGTGATTTTCCAAATATATGTCTTTTAATCTTGCTTACCCCACTCCTACAAGCAATCAGCCATATTTTTGAGATCAGTGAGGATGACCACCCACTCAAGATCGTTGGTCATGCCCGCGATCATTGATGAACTTTAGACTTCGCTAAAGGCGGATTTCCACTTACCAGAGAAGCGAAAGTTTTCGTGCGAAATTTTATATAGCACATGCGCAGTTTGATATTGAAACTTTTCTGGCGAAAAAATATTTTTCTCTTCGCTGAAAAATATAGTTGAGAATGTTTCAACTTTGAAAAGCGAAAAAGTCGACATATTTTCATCATGGCGTCAGATGAGGAGTGAGTAGAAGGTCTAGAAATGGAGCTTTTCAGCGAACACGAAAGTATCGATGAAAGAAGAGACTTATTGCAGCTTCTAATAGCCGAAGTGCAAGTTTATCCCGGTATTTGGAATAAAAAGTCGCCTGCATACAAAGAAGCACAGAAGAAAAAGCTTATTTGGGAAAAAATAGCCATGAAGTTACAGATTGGTGGTACGTTTTTCTTCTATGATTTTACATGTAGATTGCTGCAGAGAAATGGATTGGTTTTCGGCTCAAACTCAAGGAGGCTGGTCTCATTGTGAAAACGGGTGGAATATAGCAATTTCAAAGATAGCTTATGATATATATACTACACAATTTCTATAAACAAATTTTGGTATTTTAACATGAAGTCAATCTACATTTTATAGAAACTTACTCTCTATAAACTCATTACTCTAGAAACTTGTTTCCAGAATAAATTGTAAAATGTTTTATACGTAAAGAAAAATGTGTGCTATCTATGTGAATATGGAAAAGTTATGGGATATTATAAACCTCCCAAACATAGGTAATTCATATCAGTAGCATGTTCAGATGTTTTATCATATAGGATGTCCACATAGCCCTTATATCAGGGTGCTTATGTACTGTTTAATAAACGAGCAGGAGTGTTTTATTAGGTTTAAAGACACGAGTGCGCAGCGAGAGTGGCTTTAAACCTAATAAAACACGACCTGCGAGTTTATTAAACCGCTTCAAACACAACTACAAATTCAATAGATTTACTGCCTTGTTAGTATTCTTTATATAAAGAATACTAATGAGGACACAACTACAATATATACTGCCTTATTAGTATTCTTTATATAAAGAATACCAATTAGGAGTGTTTTATCAGGTTTAAAGCCACTGCACGTGACATATTATGGTTGACATGATTCGTCAATAAGCTTATGAATTATTAATGAGTGTTTGAAATATATATAAGCGCCCTGCCTTATGTTTCCCACGTAAGATCACCTACAGGCAGTTTGTTTCTCCTGTCCATACATTTTCCAGTTGATAATTATCAAAATTAAAACTCTGAGTAACATGCCTCTGGCCTCTCATACAGTTTCCATATAATAAATTGTATGGGAATTCCATGGCTGATACTTCTACATTTAAATTATGGTATTTGATGGAGTACTCCATAATTATAAATTCTGTAGAGATTCTGTGGTCCGAAAAAATGTATTTCCAATACAAACCTAGGCATGACTGACAACCTTGTGAATATTAATTACTGACCTGGAAATGCACTGTTTTTCAAATTTCCAGGGTCGGGATGACCAGAAACACAAATTGAGGACCCTCTTCTAAGTTAGTAATTACTTGGTACAATAAAATGTTTTTCTGCTTCATCTCATGGCAGTATAAGCATTGAGCAGGTGGAAACATAATTATGTCTCATTATGAAATATTACATTTTAATACATTCCCTACAAATTCTCTGTTTCAGTTGAAGAAGCAAAGAGAAAATGGAAAAACTTATACGACAGTTACAAAAAGTGCAGAGAAAGAGAACGAGAACTGGAAAAGTCTGGTTGTGGTTATACAAAGAATCCCACGTGTCTGTACTATAATGAGTTGCAATTTTTAAAAGATATTGTGTCCACTCGTACCACAACCAGCAATATCACTGTGGCTCACAAGGATAAAGCAGTTGATGTATTTGAAGTGTTACCATCAAGTTCCAGCACTGAAACATCGACTACAGCTGCCCAAATACCAACCTGTCTAGTTAAGCGACCGAAAAAAGAAATTGATCCTGTTGACAAACTTTTGATTAATGCCCTTACAAATGAGGACAAAGCATCTAATAAGTGTGATGATGCTGATACCCATTTTTGCCTAAGTTTGGTAGAAGCTATTAGGAGCTTACCATAAAAAAAAACTTAATGATAAAGAGCAAAATAATGTCACTAGTTTATGAAGCTATAGATGATTAGTTGGCAATTATGAAGTCTTATATTATCTCATCAAACAGTTTTTGTTCATGTTCTAATTTACCCTTACTGGGGTATATATAGTTGTAACTTGATATTGTGTTGTTTCCAAAAATACTGTATGGCATGGGTATTTTTTTAAAACAATGTTTTGTTTCCCTTTGTGTCACATATACATTTTCTTGAAGGTAACCCCTGACTATTTGTAATTCACCATTGGCACGGTTCTCACCCTTGATGTAACAGGACTTTGAAAAACATTGTCTAGAAAGTTAAAGGACGTTTTGTCAGTTGCACACTTTGTACACATATGGATCAGGAAATATTCATATTGAATATTTTTAAATCCCTAATTGTAAAAGCACAAAATATCTGTGCTGTTTGGAAATTTCATATTTTTTAAGGAACTTTCTTGACCTGACATTTCATTTTCCAAATTCAAAGACATTCTATGATTTTCAAAGACCAGAGAATTCTCCCTATGGGTGAGTGGGATTGTTACACAGCAATAGCAGTAATTTTTTACTGAAGTATTTCATATCCTGGGTGTATTGTAAATATTCATGAATAATAATAAACAATTAAATTTGGCCAATGATACTCCATTTTGCAAGGAAACACTTCACACATGGTTTGATAAATTGGGTTGATAAATTTCAAGAGACATATATTGGGCTAGCCAAATCTCAAAGTGATACTTCTGCTTATAATAGGTTATAGTCTTTGAGCAAAAAGATAGACCTAATTATCTACAGTACATATTAATTGTGCACTACTGTATATAACTGTTTATGGACATTACATTACATCCTATGTGCACAAAACTTCAGGCCAAAGTAATGTATTGTTCTCAAACCCAAAGAATGTCATTCACCTATTTATTATTAATATTCATTTTGAAATCAATTGGGGTTTCCTGCAATCTGATTGGCTAATAGCAGTGCAATTTCAGCACAAATCGCACTCATATCAGTGCGATTACAAAATTGCTTGCAACAGCTTGAGTTGAAATCGCATCATTTTTTTAACTAATCAGACTTAATTATAGGATTCAACCAGCCAATCAATTTTAAGAAAAACATGACCTGCCTAACAACCAAATCTGATCATCAAGTTGTAATTAAATTATTTGTCAATAGACTGCCTAAAATTTTTGAATAAAGCAAGGTATAGAGGCTTGCCAAATGTAAAAATACCCAAGAATGTTTGCCCAAATGATGATGGGCAAGGAACAAAATTTTCAATGAAACATACAAATACCAACAAATGACACATAAAAGCGACAAGCAAAACAAGGTAAATAATTTGTCGATCTGTGATCGTAGTATCAAGTGTAGATGACTTGCCAGGTTGTGGTTTGAATAGACACTACCACACCAAAACTTTATCAAATTATTTATAAAACTATAGTATGTTTGCATTTACTTTGGCTGACTTTGTAGCCTTTCAATATCTTTCCACGATAAATTTTTAGTTTGCATTTATTTTAGCTTTAGCTTGTTTGCTTGTTGCTAGGCTACGGTAATCAGGGAGTATCGCGGGTGTGTCTTTGTAAACAAAGAATTAATTGTTTCCGGTTTACAAAATTGATTCAGGATTTCAAAATGAATATAATAAAGAAGAAATTGAACTTTGTGTAGTGCAATTTTGGACTGAAATCAAACTTGTGACTCCAAATCCCACTTCGCGGTTGTGCGACTTTGTAATCACACGTTTGAGTTCAGTCCAAATTGCCCTCCACTCAGTTCAATTACCATTATTTATTCTCTGGTGCATTGCAGCGAAATCATTTCTGTTTGCCAAGGGACTGATCCAGCAGGTGACACAAAATAATCCCGAAAATGATCCCTCACTAGCTTTGCATCTCTGCTGTAGTTATTGGATCCAGTACGTCCAACAGGTTGGAGCCCGGTATCTATCAGGTTGCACTACAGTTTCTCCACAGACCATCTCTCTGCCTGTTGTGAACTTCTTGGTCAATGAATCTGACAGGGCAGTATCGACTAGCTCCATCACTAGAACGATCTTTCATAAGATAGTTATGCAATGGTACACAAGCTTTTGTGATGAATTCTACTGTTGATACTTTTGCCACAATAGGACGACGAAATATACGAAATCTTGCAGCCATAATTCCAAATGTGTTTTCAATTGTCCTTCTTGCCCAGCATATTCTGTAATTTGCAATTATTTCATTCAGACTGAGATTAATATGGGAATAGGGTTTAAAAATGTTGTAACATAAAGGAAATGCATCATCAGCAACAAAAACGTATGAGGCTATAAATGTTGATCTGTCTAGTTTACATGGATCACGAATGTCACACAAATCATTAGTGATGACTTGTCCAATGTTACTATTAGCAAATGTTCCTCCATCACTTTGTCTCCCTGATTCCCCAATGTCAACCATAGTAAATTCATAATTACTGTTGCACACAGCCAATAGAACAATGCTAAATGATTTTTTGTAATTAAAAAACATTGACCCACTATTTGCTGGAGCTTGTACAACCACATGCTTCCTGTTGATTGCTCCTATACAATGGGGAAAATTCCACTTTTCTTCGAAACCACGTGCTACTTTTTTCCACTGATCTTTTTGCACAGGAGCAGATAAAAAACCTTTCTCGACCAGTGTATCCCAGATAGCATCAGAAGTTTCTTTGATAATACGACCAACTGTTGCTTGACTAATCCGGTAGCTTCCAGAAATGGTTACTTGTGAATCTCCAGTTACGACATATCTTAAAGTAACACATAGTCTCTCTTCTGGGCCGACTGGATCTCGTTTAACCGCAGGCTTTGTTAATTTTGGTGCTACCCACTGTAATAATTCTTCCAGTTTACTGGGCAACATTCGAAAATGTTTGAAGAATAATTCGTGATCAAACAGCTTCATTTCTTGGACTAAGCAATGAAATTCTCCTTTGTTTCCTTTCTGCAAATATCTTTCGTATCCAGAATCTTTTTCTGTATTTTCTTCGTTGTTTTCTCCTTCGCAAAAGTAGCAAGAGAAGAAGCTGTCTCTTGTTTAGAGCGGCCATGTTTTAACTGTGCTTTTTCGTCCCTTCATATCCTTCCCTGTCCCTCCAGACATTTCACGAAAAAATCAGAAGAGTAAAACAAGTGGAAATTCAACAAAGAAAATTTTCCCTTGAAATCTTTTTCTCGCGAATTTTTTTCACTCGAAAAACCCGAGTGGAAATCCACCTTAATGCTTTCGTTTCCCCTGGGGGAAATTAGTACCCTCGCCCCGGGCCAGCGCTCCATGCCGTTGGCCCTTTCACAGTCCCCAAGCTATTCACAAACTATGTCACAAGGCAGACTTTTTAAAAAGGTATATTCTGCACTGCTCGAAATGCAGTAGAACCATGGACATGCTGGGGTCTTGAAAAGGACAACAAATGAACCATGTCTGATGGGGCCCAGGCCCAGTGACAGACGGATCAAGACTGGGGACCAATATTGCTGATCAAACATGGTACATTTCAGTCGCTAATTAATCTTTTTTCCCAAAAATTGTTGTAATGCCAGACATACAATTTTTCAGTAATATTCGAATTAATGTACAGTAATATTCGAATTAATGTACAGTAATTTGTTAAATTTTTCAGTAATATTTTTATCAATTTAGATTTTTAAAATATAAATTGTAATATCCTAATCTTGAGTTTCAAAATTGAAATCTCTATTTTTCATCTTTTCCAACGTTTTAATTTTTGGGGTCCGTAATGATAGGGCCCAACAACCGTTCTCGTTGGCTCATCCCTGGCCAGCAGGTACTTGAGTAGAACTCTATGACTGCGGGAATTTAGATTTGATAAAAGCACCCTAGCTAAAGATTAAAAAGTGCATATTCATGCCACAATTCTACACGGCTCCAATGCAGCAGAAGGCCAGCCTGAGATTCATAACAAATTAGCTCTGGAAATCTTAAAAAAACTCACGATTTTCATGTACAGAAACGGTCAATATAAACTTGAATAAGGTATCTATAGAAAGCCTATAGATTATGAATATAGAATTTATCAAGTGGGCATATTCATACCTCAATTCCACACATCTCCAAACGCAGTAGAACTCCAGCCTGAGATTCCAAAATGGATGTAATTACATCATTGTAAATTCTTATTCGATTACGCACTTCAAAAGCCTTGCAAATTTTCATGTACAGAAACGGCCGATATAGACTTGAACAAGGTATCTACAGAAAGGCTATATATTACGAATATAGAATTTATAGAGTGGCCCATATTCATGCTTCAAATCTACATGACTCCAAATGCAGCAGAACACTAGCCTGAGATTCAACACAGCATATAAATAACTCTGGAATTCTAATTCGATTACGCACTTAAAAAAACTCGCGATTTTCATGTACAAAAATGGTTGCTATATACTTGAAGGTGTATAGAAGCATATGGCCTATATGTATAGAAAGCATATATTGATTATGAATATAGAATTTATAGAATGGCCTCAATTTTATACTGAGTGGTCTGTGTTGGAACTCCAGACTAAGATTCAAAATTGCATAATAAGAAATCTCAAATTCTGGTTTACTGACATTGAGGATGTGATATTCGCTATATGTGAGCTGTTTTGTGTCTTATGAGACTAACTGTTGATTTCAGCGGTTCATATTTCCCTTTGCGAAAATTTGTTGAAAATTGTTTTTGTGCTTTTTTTTCTCGATAATTTGTGGAACATTACTATTATGAATGTATGTTTTGCAGGTCTTTTGTGTGTGTGCACTTCACTATTCACATGCAATTTAATAAAACGAGAATTAGCCTTGGAAATATATGTTCAACATTGAACGGATTTTGGTTGCTATAACCGATGTAGACGGCAATCCAAGCGAATCCTGGAGGGCAGTCAATGGTTTTGGGGGAAAAGTTGTGTGTTGAATTTCGATTGAAGAACAAGATTCTTGTTCGGAAGAATTTGTATATGCGATAGGTTGAAGACAGAAAAGGTTTGAGAAGTGAATATACGAACACTGTGATGGAACAGAATGCAGCGCCTGAAGTGTCTGCCATGGACATAAGTAATCTTTTTAAGGCACGCTGAAATTAACCAAACAATTTTAGCCCAACTAATCATCATGCAATAATGTCTAAATTGGTCTTTAGAAATTTAATGTTGTTCAAATATAAATAAACCAGTACTGTATGCTTGAATCTTTATCAATATACCGGGTGTCCCAAAAAAAAGTACTCCGGTTTGATTCGTAATAACTTCGAAACAAGTAAAGCTTTTAAAGAGAAATAACTTGCATCAAATAGAGGAAGCCCTAACTTAAATTTTGATATGTTACATTTGTATTTCACTTAAAAATTCGCGGAAATATTAATGTTTAAAATCGGGAGCATATTTCTGGATGTGTCTGAAATATGCAAAAAACGGGGTATCAAATATTAATCAAGATTTGCCCGACTGAAACATGCACTATTACCAGTAAATAAATGACACTTGACAAATTGTTTATTATGAAACAAAGTATTGTTATCTACAAAATACAAGGAAGATTTATTCGTCCGAAATCCGCGTGTGTTCCTATAGCACGAGTACGTTTCCTTATTTCATAAGACCACTGACTGCATCGCGAAGGATCGTCATGGATCGTTCGTGTTCTGAATTAGGGGATGCTGTCAGCCTGTCACAATGGAATTGTGAAGCTCTTCTAACTTTTGCAATGTTCTGAAATCTTGTTAAGAACACTCAATATTTTTTGCTTTTTCTTAATCTTGGCAAGTTCAGAATAAACTAAGAATGAAACACAATCAAACCATACAACTCCATAAGACATAACAAGCAACTCCCCAGAGACATCCAACATTTTTAGAACAAAACGTAACAAAATAGTAGCGTTGATACTGTGATGTGTATTTGCAAAATGCAGTATTATTTCCTTCATTAAAAAATAATATTCATCCTGCTCTAATCGAGAAATATTCAACTCTGTTTTCAACCCATGAAAAGCATAAAAAATATAGGCTATTTGAGAAAAATTTAAGCGCCTGCCTTGAATGGTCTTTCATCTACCTTTAAGTTGGTATTAAAGACCTATTAAATACTTTACGTTTATATTTCGTAATATAATACGAACGTTTATATTTCAGGAAACAATGAGCTTAGATGTAAGATGTCTAAATCTACGCCATATCCTTATACAATCCCTGACGACAATTCGCTGAAATACAAGTTAGCCTGATATATCATTAAACAAACAAACGCTGGAGTTAATATTTGATATGCCGATTTTCGCTAATTTTAGACACATCCCAAAATATGCTCCCGATTTTGAACATTAATATCTCTGTGAATTTTTAAGTAAAATATAACTGTAATATATCAAAATCTAAGTTAGTCCTTCCTCTATTTAATGCAAGTTATTTCTGTTTGATAGCTTTAGTTGTTTAGAAGTTATTATAAATCAAACCGGAGTACTTTTTTTTGGGACACCCGGTATTTAAAAGTATTTGTAATTTTACTGCTGAACGTTTATCTTTAGGAAATGTGACAAATTTGTGTGATGAGGTTGGCCAAAATTTTGTGTTTCCCTTTCAAAGGGAATTTCGTTCCACTTTATGTATCATTAATTTATTTCATTGACAGCCCCACAGCTCTGGGCATGTTAAATATTTGACTGGAATATTCAATTATTTGATAATATTACTATTATATATATGGGGAAAACATAAAAATAATAGATAGGCAATGCAGCAAATATATGTTATCACATCAGGGGAACTTGCCCCGGGATGGAAAATGCCCCAGGCTGACAAATCAGTTGAGGTTTAAGAGAGCTTGTCTGTAAAAATTGCAATAATTCGTCATTTTCTGGCAGATATGAAAAACTGAAAGTTCTTCAATTTCCCTCGATTTTATATATATTGTAGACCTATCCAACCCCAGACATTTACCGAAGTTTCAGCCATGAAACACAAAATGAAGAAAAGTTAGAGTACTTCAAAAATCGAACCAAAAATGATGTGAAATGTCCAAGAAATGTCGCTATATAAAGCAGTCAACATCATGTGCTGTGCTGAGCGTGCATTATAAGTTTTGGTCTGCTGTTACAATCTGTGTTTTTAGAATATATGGAACTTTCTTGTGATATCTTTTCTCCATAAATCGAAATGTTATTGACTTTGTTATTTTAGATCAAAGATGGTTGAAATTTCCGGGTTTTCCAAACTAGCCAAAGTACATCTTGGGAATCGCCCATTTAAACATAGTCCTACTTTCTATTTAAATGTACATATGCATAATTTGTTAGCGCTAGGATGTAGTCATTCGACGAGCATTTCAGATGTTTGGGATTCTTTGGTGTCTTGGCGAAATTTGATCTTAAACATAGTGTAACTGAGTGCTCGGATTCTATTAACCGGCGCGTTACGATTCCAATATCTTACGCTTGTTCTATTCAAAAAGTTAACATGCTTCACTGTAAATGACACTGATAACACACAGTTTACTTAATGATTTTCTTTGCATTCAAGTTTACTTTGTCTACAGTATATGTGTATATACATACTGCGCGCACGTACGCACGCACGTGACCAAGAACATTTTAACTTTTTTCAAACGTACATAAAAAACATAGCCGCAGCCCCAAGCATGGCTTTAAATTGCGGTGCCCGTCCAAGTTTGACATCAGCTTTATATATAGAGTTTGTACGTTTATGCGCAATCACAAGCATATTTTCTTCATGTAATCTCTAAGGTAATAATTATATTTATCGTTGCTAACGCTGCATATTTAATTGTTTACATTTTCTGTCGATACATTCATGTACGACTTGCAGTTTATTACACATATTTTCTTACATATCGATTCTGACAAACTCGACAACATAACAATTTTGGGCTATATTTTCCTCATTTTACAAC